GCTGAAGAAAGAAACCAACAGAACACCGGTGAACTTTAACAGGACTCCTTTTTAATGTTGGCATTTTAACATAACTGAGTCATACACAATGTATTTCTTCAGGACAGAAAGAATGAAGAGGAACATATACCGTATGTAAATATATATATGTATACACCATTAATATTTAGTGTATGCAGGAACACACAAAACTCCCTCAAACTTTTTGTTCTTTATATTTAAGAGCTATTATTCAGTGAAGAAAGCAACAGTGGTTCTTGGAATTGAGACAGATAATGTAATTGCAGTGAAGTGTGATAAAAGGTAAGACATGCCATGCCTATCAAGAATGTTTTGTTGTGCTTAACTTCCTCTGATACAGCTTGCCTTTAGTTCTGTCTCCTAGCAGGAATCCTATTTTATAGAATGAAATCTGCCTGTCTTGAAGAAAATTCAGTATTCATAAAAACAGAGTTCGGTTTTACAAGTTGTTTTCTCTAGGTCTTACCCTGTTCAGTTCAAGTAAAAAGTGACTGTTGTGCCTGAGGAAAAAAATGGAGTAAAAAGTATTGGACTCTGCTAGATATATTCCAAAATCTCATTGCTTATTTGCCTCTAGGAGATGGCATAAGTCAAGGTGACAGAAAGTGTTTTGGGCAGAGAATGGGACTGGATGTTCTTGCCACCTTCTGTGTGAAGAGCAGTGTGTTGCTCAGCCATTTCAGGAAATGTGGGGAAGAAAACCAGTGTGGGATAAGATAGATTCCTCCTTTCTTACCTCAACTTTTCCAGGAGTGGGATAATTTTCCAGGTGCTCCTACATGTAATACGTTAGTCGTCTTGGGACAGTAGCAACCCAGGATCTTTTGAGGGGGTGGGGGGAGGCAGGGAGGTCCTTGCTCATATCAGAGTGCCTCCTTGGGGCACAGGTGGGAGGGCAAAAGACCTACCTTTGCATTCCAAATGAAAGGATTTGCCCAAAAAGATTTGGGTGCACTGGAACAGATGGTGGGGAAATGGCCTCTTAAGCTAGGGCAGCCTTGGCTGCAGTCTATCTTCTTCTGAGCTTCTGTCCAAGCACCTGCTACCGTGTTCAGCCTGTCTCAATTACTTTCATTTTAGACCTCTGTTGTTTTGTTTAGAAGGGGTTTTTTCTTTTTTCTTTTTTTTCCTCGCTGGAATGTGACCTTCTGTCCTCTGTATAAGACTAGTGGAACAGATGCAGTAGCAGTTTCAAGGAGAGGTTTACAGATGTATTTCTTTTCTGTTTTCTCTTGGAATATGTGCAGGGCTTTAGCTAACATCTCTTAAGAAAAAGCATGAAGCAGAACTAGTTAAAAGAATATGTAAGTTGTGTTTCACTGAGAACAAAAAAAGGAACACCCACACCACCTATTACTGAATTCTTTATTATTTCCTGGCATTGTCAAAATACAAACTGGGAGACTTATGAGGCGGAAACACCTCACCTTGCTCTCTTTACAAACTGTTTGATGCCCAGTGTGCTGTCAAATTCTGGTGAGAAGCATCATGAAACAAAATTAAGGGGCAGGATGAGGGGAGGTCTGTTTGTTTCTTAGATCTTACATAATGGATGAGAACCAAGTGTTTGTGTTTAAACTTTGATACCTTTCTTTACATTTTCTTCTCTGCTTAATGCAGCATCTTGTAAAAGCTACATGGAACTCTGTTTGTAGTACCTGTATTTAAAAAGCAACATTCCTTTCCATGGAAATCTCTACTTCAAGGTTTATCCACTTTTGCACAATTGGATTATTAAGGTTGAGGTATCCTAGGCATTTAAGAGGGCAACTCCCACCCCTCAAGAGGCATGTTCCCACCACCCCGAATCCCAGAAGTTCAAAGTATTGCTGTAGGTTCTTCTTGGCTCCTTGACCCCATTCATCTTTGAGAAAGCAAAGCAAACTGAAGAATTTCCAGATGGTGTATTTCTCCCTGTTTCGCTGCTCTGCAACTTGGAGGATGGCCACAGTTATATGATGTATAGTCATACATGCCAGGCTGAGCAACCTGGTCTAGTGGAAGGCGTCCCTGCCCATGGCAGGGTGGTTGGAACCAGGTGGTCTTTAAGGTCACTTCCAACCTAAGCCATTCTATGATACCATGTGACATGACATGGAGATTGAGAGGAGAAAGAAAATGCAACTGAGTGATGTTGCTTCTGTCCAGGAAAGCATGAGGTGAAGGGGGATAAATATTGTTGTCCCAGATCTGGGGGGTTTTACCTGATATGCAAGAAGCCAATCAACACACAGAGCCAAGATATTTCTTTATTTCATGACTGTGCAGAGATGGGTGCTAGGTGGTAACTCCACAAAGCTGGCACACCCGGGTAAAATTGCAGTAGGTATTTATACAGTTAAATGCATCAGCTACATCTAATATTGATGCCTCCTAGCCAGCCCTTGGCTAGCTTCTTTCTTGCCTCAACTTAACAATCCAGCTCCTCCTAAATTCCCTGTGCGTGTTCCGAGAGTACAGGGCTTATTTGGGTAGGGGGCTCTTTCTAGCTAGGAGGTGTGGTTTTCACAATGTAATGAGATTATTATGAGACAGTTTAATTTCAATGCACCAGTTAGGGGGATTTTGTTGACTTTACTAATTAATGTGAAAACGATACTGGTTCTCAAGGATGGTGTCACATTTCTCAAGAATGTATGTGATATATATCTATAACTCCCATCCTTTCTTCCCTAGGTTTAATTATCTCAGTACACTCTATCTTAAAGTAAACAATGTCACCATAACCTTAAACCATCATTCACCAACTGCCCCCTTTGAGACTGTATAGAGGAGAGATTTATGCATCTTCCTTATATTAGTCTCACTTTCTCCAAAGTTTGATTTCCCAAAGTAGTGCAACATTTCCTTATACATTTTATCAGTACATATATACATACAGATATAAATAATCCCATGATCCCTACTCCTATTAATTTCGTCAGCCATAGGCTCAGGTCAGGCATCCATACGGTCGGCCAACACCAAACTTCAGAAAACTCATGGTGTCAACCTTTTGAATGTCATGCAAGATTTTTAGTTTGTTTCAAAATTTTGTTAAGATCGGTAGATATTCTACCACATTGATCTATATAAACACAACAACTAGTGTTCAGGACTGCATGTTCCTGCTTTTGGATGGAAGAATTATACCACTTACCATCCTATCCTGTGTAGTGATCTTCGATAGTTGTGCTGCTTCTTCCTGGAACGCTGATATGGCATCTGATGTTTTCTTTCCAATATTTTCTATGATAGCTGATATGTTTATATTTGCCTTTTCAATTTCACTTACCCCTAACCAAGGTGAGAACCAGCAAGCAAATGAATGAAAGGCTTTAGGTCCCTCAGTTAAGGGGTTATTTTGTTTATGCCTCTTCATGTAGGATTGTACCCGTAATTTGGATTCTAAGTTGTCATGCACGGTTATATTTGGGACTCACTGGGTGGAAGCACTTTTCTAGCTTTAGCCACATATCCAATACTGCCCTTTTCCTTCCGATGCTGGCCATCCTGCTCATCGTCGGTTAACAGCAGTTTCACTGAGATGTCTGGAGAAAAAGAAATACAGTATTCCCTGTAGTGCTGTGTTTTCATATTGCTGTCTATTATGGTTATTCTTATTTGATGCCTCCACTCCCTGCTGCCTCAATGACTGAATCTGTCGACTCAGTCTCTGAATCTATAGGTTGAAACATGACAGGCAATTTGGAAACTTAGCACATTCTCATGTCTGTAACTTTTCTTCACAGATACTCAAAAAATGAGATGGACTCTGGACTCTCCCCTCTCCCAGGGGCGCCTGGAGGACCTCCTGCCCTCCTCCTGCTCTCCCCTCGGGGCTCGCAGGGCTGTTTCTGCCCCGGTTTCCCTCAGCCCTGGCTGCCGGGCAGCGTTTTGCCCTTTCTGACACAGGCTTTCCCCGCGGCGCCCGCCCGTGGCTGAGGGCGGCTGTGCCCTGCTGTGGGGCCTTGGGAGCCGGCGGGAACCGGCTGTGTCCGGCATGGGGCAGCCCCGGCCCTCACACACAGGGGCCGCCCGGCACCCACCGACCCTGCCTCCACCAAAGGGGCATCTGCATCTACCACAAATATTAAGGAAATTAAGAAAATGCTTGGGTACAGCCCCACGAGACAGTGCTGATCAGCAAACTGGTGCCCTGGCTTCTTCCTGCCGACCCAGGTCACCTCAGGGAGGTGCAGGTGGCTGCTGGGTGCCATGGTCTGTCCCAGGCAAGGGGCTGAGGCCGAGACACCCAGTGAGCCACCTAAGGCCTGCAGGAGGTCTGTAAGGATCTCCATGCACAAATGGCACAGGGTTGCTTCTTCCCAAAGTGTAGGTAGTTCTCGGGTAGAAAAAGGGGCTAAGGAAGATGAACTTGGGAGCTGGTTCTTCCTCTAGTGCAGTTTTTTATTTTTGTCAACAGTTTTGATGGTGACATGAAATTATGGGTGGTAAAATTTGCAGGTGACATGAATTTAGTAGCATGGTAAATAATAAGGAACATAGTTATGGTTCTATGAATAGTCTTAAAAACATATCTAAAGACTAATCAGAATAATAAATTATATTATTTTCTTTGGGTTAGTTGGTTTTTTTTAGGTGGTTTTGTTTTTTTTTCCCCTCTCAATATTTGACACTGGGAAAATGATTCCAGCCGATTTGGAGGCTGAAATACTGAAAATCAAAAGGCAGGGGTTTGTTTTCACTCTTATTTTTTTAAGTTAATGTGGAGTTGAATCTGACAATGCTACTTGAAATCTGGCAGCATTAACTCACATAAAATTGTCATTGATACTGATTGTAAAAGACAGAGCAGGATATATATATGTGTGTGTGTGTATATATATATTCCCCCACTCCCTCTCTTCTCTCCCCCCCGCCCCCGGAAATAATAAAATAGCTGAAAAATCTGGTTTTGAAGAGAATGAGAACTGTCTGTGAATTAGTGTCAAATTCTGGCCTGCTGTTTCGGCCAATTTTCTCCAAATGGAGGAAAATTTGAAAGGCTTCGCTTTGATATATTCTTAAATGAAACATGTTGACCCTGTGTTGGTTCACAGCGAAGGTATTTAAAAAAGTAACTTAAAATTATTGCAGTACTCAATGCTTAAGTATTTCATTTCAGGTTGATCTGAAATGGGGGCTTTTGTTTTTGTTACTGTTCAATTGTTTTTCACATTGCTGAAACACCTGTATATGTGTTTGGGGGGAGAACCAAGAAAGCTCAGAAAATGTTTTTCAGCTGCATTACCATAGGATCTACAATTGCAAAAGCACTTAAGAGCTTGTGGTGTCTTTGGATAGCTTCCAATTCAAAGTAATGGGAGTTTTCTGATGGACGACAATACTTGGGTTATGTTGTGTGATGGATAGATAAGACTGTTTCACACACAAATAAAAGTAGCCCTACAGATAAGGTGTCATTATATTGTTGGGTTGTGGTTTTTTTTTGGAAGGGCACCCTTTTTTCCAGTTCACCCTGAAATGAAGTAGGAATTTAAGAAATCAGAATAAATGACTAAAGAAGAATGTTCTTCATTATTGAAATCAGAAGAGAGGGGATAGTAAAAAAGAATGTCCTTCATTATTAATTATAGAGATAAGTTCTACTAGAGATTGAGGAAAGCATAATATGTTTTCTGAGATGTTTTTGAGATCATGTGGACTTGCGAAATCTTCTATCACTTTCACAGTCACATCCCACTTTATCAGTGCCTCTGCTGGTACCACCATTTATAGAGCCATTGATCCACCTTCTGACGTTGCTGACATAAGTGGGAAGCACAAGCTGTAGATGCATGTGGATGTAAGGTTTTCTGGAAATAATGTTTGGCATTCTCATAAGCTTAAAAACTGGAATTAGTTCTGTAAGTAGCACTTTTCTGAGATTGTGAAATGAATGGCCTATTTGCCTGAACGGATGCTATTGGAAAAAAATACAGAAGAGGATATAATCTTTCAGTATAGGTTGTGCTTGTTTACAGAAAAGGTTGCCTGCACTTATGTAGTAGTATAGTGCATCCCACTTCGAAGACGGTTCTTCTTGCATCAGCTAAGCCAACTGCAAAAATTAAACACACTGCCTGTGCAGCATATAACATATGAGCTCCTGAGTTACTGTCTGTCTTCAGCGTTGTCATTCAATTTACCCTCCAATTTCAGGATACTTGGCTTGTAACAAACTAAAGTTGATTATGCTTCCTAAACAAAATTCTTAGCTCTACCATAACTGTGTGGGTGCAGGGGGGAAAGTAGCTAGTTTTGTTTTGGGGGATTGCTCCTGTAGTGATTTAGTATGAATAATTATGGTTTATATATTTTGCCAATTTTGGTACTGTGTTCACTAAATAGTGTGATCGTCTCTTTTTTTTTTTTTTTTTTCTCCCAAATTTTGAAGTTTATAGACAGCTCTAGTCCATTCGCCCCTCCTGAAAACTTCTAGACAGAAGATGCTATAAATAGGCTTGCATGCCTCATATAAGGAAACCATTTTAAGGAAGTATTGGCTGTTGCACATAAAAACAGTTGAATGCTGATGTTACTATTGATTTCTTCCATAGCACAATGACAGTATAATAGAAGTATAATGAACTTATTCCACTGCAATCACTGTGTCCTGTAAAGATATTCTAATTTCCACAAAATATGAAGAATACGTCAGACTAATTATGTGGGGAAAAAACTGGAAACATTGTTGTAAACCTGCCTTGCTCTGATAGCTGCTGTTTGGTACTTCAGAGGTGGGAGCTCAAGATAATTGAAAAGGATGATTACATTGAATAAAGAACATAGAGGCAAATTCTTTTCTTGTACTCATATAACCTGACTATTTGTAGCTGAAGACCACGTTTACTTTCATATGAAATCATGCCTTCACTGAAAGTAGTGAAATGTGAATTGGCATAAAGGTGACCAGAATACAATCCTTGGTGTATTTGAGTTCTTGTTATGGTGCTAAATCCTGGTCGTCTTACTGATGCGTTAAACCGTGTTCAAGCCAGTAGGACTATTTGTGTAACTATAGGCTGAATCAAATACAACCAGTTTATTATCTGGATTCCTGCTCCATTTCAGGGCAAACTGGAAAAAACGGTGCCCTTTCAAACAAGAGAATGGTATAGAAAACCACCAGTGTGGTGCAGCCCTTTATAATATTTGCTATCTGTCATTGACCTACTTTATTTTTTAATATATTGGTTTTGTCCTGATTGTGCTGTTGAAAGAGGGTAAGATCTAAGTTTCTCTTCCTGTTTGAATTTCTTTCTGTATAATACTTGAATAATTCATTGAGCAGTTTATATTACCAGTATGGTCACTGAAGACTTTGCTGAAACACATTAACAGTAATTTATGAGTGTAAGTAAGTCAATCATTTTATGCAGGCTGCATGGGGTGGTGGCCTGATGATATCTTTGAAACATTCTTTTGAACTCAAGGGCATTGAAAGGTGAGCACAAGAACATGGTGTTTGTGGTTTTTTTCTTTCAGAGTAGATAATCTTTTTTTCTCTTGTCATCCTTACCATGTTACTGCTGCTTTGAATCTCTCTCTGCTTTCTGTCTCTACGCAATGAGATTTGGCATCTAGGAAAAACTAATTAAAAAAAAAAAAAAGGCAAAAGAAAACCACAAAAAAAAAATCAATCCTGGACACCTTAAAAAAACATCTCGGCCTGTCATGGTTTAGGCTGAATCAGCTACTGGGGACATGGGGCACCCCAGATGGGACTGAGAGATGCTCCCCCCTACTCCTCTTCAAAGAGAGAGGCAGAGGAGGGAAAAAGAGACTTGTGAGTTTAGAAGGAACTAAACTACTTTAATGAAATATTAATAGTAAAATAAAAAGTAAATAATGATATAGATACAAAACTGTATCAGGCTCCCAGGATGACAATCACCTCACTGGCTGCCACTGGGGAGGTCCGACTGAACTCAGTGACAGCTGGTAAATGGATTCCGGATCCAGATTCCGGATCAGGACCAAAGGCAGACAAACAGAGTCCTCCTCCGATGCGGGCTATTGAAGAAAGAGAGAGAGGTGACCCTTTGATCCCTCATCTTTTATACTGAGCATGAGGCAGATGGGATGGAATACCCTGTAGGTCAGTTTTGGGTCACCTGTCCTGTCTGTTCCTCCCCACAGGTGGGACCCTTCTACTCTTTTCCGCTTCCCACCCTCCAATGGGGCAAATAACAAAGTTGGTTGCCCTTGGGTGTTACAGCAATAAGTCTAAGCAAGAGCCTCTCTGCATACCATGCCTGGGCATCAACTATAAACATAGGTCTTATCATTCTGAGAGAGTGAACAGTGTCTGCACAATATGCTGTTAATTTCAGTAGTTAGAAGAGGCCCAGCTAAGAAGCAAAGTTGCTGAACAAAATTGGTCCTGTTTTACCTCAAACCAGGACATGGCCTCTCTCTTTGCTTTCTTTGCCCTCTCGCTGTATTAAACTTTTCTTGACCATACCTTTGATGTATTTCCTTTTCCTGCCACAAGAGTTACAGCTTCATCAAGCTGTTGCTTCTGCTTAAAATGTCGCACAATAACATATTTCCTCATCAACTGTTGGCCTTCATTTTCCTTCAGTTTTCTTCTTGGAAGTTCTTTCCTCTTAAGGATGATATCTCCCCATTTCTGTACCCTGACTTGTTATCCTATGACCTTGACCTAGAACTACAAGCCTTCTCAGGGTGTATTGACACTGTAGACCACAGTGTCATGTGGGTATATACAAGTAGTCTAAAGCCTAGAATCAAGGCAAATTATCCTATATTGCTGCTGTGAAGGTATGTTGTTTTTACTATCAGTCTAGTCTGGGGAGTCTATACTGTACTGGGGTGAGCAGCATAGCTGTTCACAATATGGCACAAATTATGCGCTATGTAAACTGGTGGTCATACATAACTGTTTAATAAGCTTCTGTCTGCAGGGGAACAATCTGGAGTACTTAAGAGATGCAGCCTTTAACATCTGGATAGTGCTGTACATTACACTTGATTTCTATGGTCTGTTCTGTTGTTTGGAATTCACACAAGCAGATGAGGGCTACACTTCAGTGTTCAGCCTTCCTCATCTGCAGAAAGGTAACACGAGTGGGCCCATTGTTCTATCACAATGCACTTTGGGTGACTCCTGTGAGCAAGTCCTGTTAATGCTAAAAGCATGAAAGCTGGCTTACCACTCGGAGAGAAGCATACTTCTTTCTTCGGAGCTTTCTGATAGCTTGTGTTGCCAACTTTGGCCTCTGCTGTAGAGTTTATATTACTGAGGTTTCCTACTGCAGAACCATTACATGGTCAAGAGGAGAGACTTTCCTAATCAAGTGGTGTCAAATGAGGAGAGAAACATGTTCCCAGGAACCTCCTTGAGATATTACCCTATAGGTATGCTCTGTAGATAAGAGGTGTGCAAGGGTAGTTGTCAGGTCCACTTCTCAACAGTTTCAAAAAGACACAGAGAGCTCAAGAAGAGCATAAAATGGATCTGTGTCTCTTAACAGATTCTCAGACACACAAGAAGCATTATTTTGTTAGCAAACACCTAAAAAGTAATGCAATGTCTTTTTGCCTGCTTCTGGATTTCAGACAACTCTCCCCAAAAAGGAGGAAATAGTTCTGCAAGGTTTTGTGAGCCACACTTATATTTGCTTCTACATTTACAAATTTAAAGATTTAAAATTGGAAGGCAGAATTATTATCAGGTTTGCATGGTACAATACCTGATTTGGGATTATTCCAAAAAACCCAGACTTCTTTTTCTAAGCTTTTGCAAGTATTTGCAAGTACACTGAATTAACAGATTTGAGAGGGGTTCTATCAGATCCCAGGGTTAGTTGTTATTCTAAGTATTGTCTCTTTGTATAAATCAGAAGAGCAGACTACTGACTTCTCTCACCTTTTCATTAAAATACCTGTGGAAGTTGCCATTCTTTCAACAGCAGATCTTGCTTGCCAAACAAATGCCTAGCAATCAAAACATGCGACAGTAAAAGTTAAATCATCCTTTGTACTGCTAGGTACCTTAGTACAGTATATGGAGTTCAGTA